TCATTCGTTCATTTTATTTTTGTTTATCAACGGGCCACTTTTACCGAACATTTAATGGTGCAGCGGTCATTGTGATTGTGTGTGTGTGTGAGAATGAGAATGAGTGTGTGAGAGAATGCATTAGTGATGTGTGCACATGTATGAACGAGTTAATGAATCACTAATCCATATTGTGAAGTCAGACTGTTGGTCCACAAATGTAAAATTCCTCTAGATTAAAGAGCTGTGATGTATTAAACAGTAGCAGACGACTGACCCCCACAGGGTCTTTCTATTCTTTTGCCTCTACAGGATGCAGTCCCATCAGAGACACCCTGTGAGGGTAGCAGTACTCATTCATACCCCTTTCAAAGAGAGGCCTGTTGCTTCTGTCATTGAAGACACCCATAATTAGCTGACCAGCTCAGCTTGACATTTACTCAAATATCCTCACACAAAAACTTGTATTCTCTTGTACTTCGTCTCTTGGCTTATGGAGGTTTTTTTTCTTTTGGGTACCCAAAATGAATGGCCAGTAGTCCAGGATGTTATTGTTCCATGTTGTAAAAAAAAAATAGATTGTGTGCTTTAAAAGAGGGGAAAGTAATTGTTTTATTATTTAGTGCATGTGTTTTTGTTGCTGCTATAGTGACTGCTGCCCTTTTGACCTTTTGTAAGGCTTTTTACTGCTTATTTAATGCATTTCACCCAATACTCTGCAGTTCAAATGTTTTGGGTTGGTAAGATTTTGTAATGTTTTTGAACGTTTCTTATACACACCAGTGCTGAATTTAATTGATCAAAAATACAGTAAAACAGTAATGCTATAAAATATTATAATTTAAAATAACTTTTTTTCAGTATTTTAAAATGTTGTTTATTCCTGTGATGGCAAAGTTGAATTTTCAGCAGCTGGTACTACAGTCTTCAGTGTCACATGATCCAATATGCTGATTAAAACATTTCTCATTAACTCATAAACAGTTGTGTTGCTAAATATTGTGGAAAACATGATACATTTTTAAGAATTCTCTGATGAATAGAAAGTTCAAAAGAACAGCATTTATTTGAAATGGAATTTCTTTTGTAACAAAAGCAATGCCTCACTTGCTTTCACTTTAAAACAAATCGTAGTAACCCCAAACTTTTGAATGGTATTACATAATAATAACATTGTGGTTATTGCAGCATCAGCCTGTTAGCCTAACAAATACTGGGAACTCTGAATTAGCTGTACTGAGTCTTTAACATCAGTCCTTTGATAGGCAAATAAAGTTCATGTCTATGTCAAGAATCTCAAATCAGTCATGTTTTAATTAGGTTAAGTTTCTCTGGGTCACAGAGATGCTGATTCAATTATTTTAGGGCTGTTCTTTTGTGACATTTAGACAAAATCTGGCAATTCAAGCACCAATTATTGTGATTCTTTTTTATTTGCCTCATTTAGCATCAGCTAAAAGGCAAATTAAGTCATTAATTACTAATAACTGTAATTGCTCTGGATTTCAGCTTATTTGTCATTGGGCCTCATTCTGCACCAAGTGTTCCTAAAAGAAACTGAACATCCAAATTATGATTTTGAATCACTTGGACATGGGAGTACATGTGTGAGGGGTCACACTGGGCAAAGTCAATGTTACTTAATTCAATTACAGTGGGAAAGTATTTTGATACAGCCTGATGAACCTTGATGAAATTAGGAGTCCACAACCTGTCAAATGTTGGATATAAGTTAATCACTACTCTAAGTAATAAGAGAGTTTTTTTAAGGACAAAAAAAACTCCCTTACACTCTCAATACAGGTCATGACCTGAGCCTTTTTGCTTATGTCTTTTTAAATTATGGATTTAACAATGTGCTCAAAACATACCACTTCTCTTACCACCACAAACTACTGCCTCTAAATATGGTCTGGGTATTTCTGAAAGGCAAACATATCTTCAGTCCATTCTTTAAATGTTTTTCCCTCTTTTATTATAGCGCAAGTTATCCTATAACAATGACCAAACTTTCGCCTAGCACAGCATAAAGGCATCTACAGGAATGGTCTTTGCATAACATAAACGTAACTAAATTACCTAAACCTAATGCATAATGCATTCGGTATTCTTAAAACTGAATGCATTATATATTTTAATCTTAACCCTTACACTAGGTGTTGTTTACTTCTCTACACACAGAGCCAGTGTATTGTGCTACCACGAGGTGGCTTGTGCAAACTTGGTTGTGATTCGCAAGTGGCCTGTAATTTATGCAAACTACAGTGCCCTCTTAATTCGAGATTTCCTGCGGGACACGTTCCATTGGGCTGTTTTTCTGTGGAGGCCCATCCGGCACCCAATGTTGACATTCCGACTGTCTGTAAATAAAACTAGGGCTGAAGCTTAAGCTTTAATATTTTCATTACTGCAGCTGCATGCCATTGTAAAATTGATGGTTCTGCATACTTTTAATTGTACTAAAAATGGAAGGTGCTGTAATAATATCTTAATATTCTATGGAATTTCAGAGGAAAGCAGTTTAAATGAAAGCAAGCATGTAGTTTATAATGAGCACTTTTTGTTCTCAAAAATGTTTTATAGGGGCAGGGAAACTGGGGGTGTTGTAAGACATTTTGTTACTGTAACTGTACTGTGAGTTGTAATACTAACAGAAAACAATGTTTTCAGTTAGTTATTTTATTAGTTAAATAAAATTTTCGTTTTATTTTAATTATTTAAGAATTACATCAGCTTATAAACCAGACAGAATGGTAAGTTCTTGCCTCAAAAGTGTATTTTGTCCATCTAAATCTTCTAGAATATTTATGATTATCTCAGAGGTTGTTAGCCATATTCAATTTGTAATTGTGTAAACTGATGGTGTTGCACTCCCAGGTCTCACTCTGGTTAGATGCTGTAAGGCGTGTCTGGCTGCTCTCCGTGCGATACTGATGGGAGGAGGGCTCCTAAAAGTGAACCCACAGACCCGTTTTAACACTTTCCAAAGCAGACAACCCTCGGGACGGACTGCAGGGCGCATTTACACGGGCTGTTGGATACCTACTTCCTTTTGAACGCTCGTTATTTGACTAAGAGTGGAGAAACGGCGACGTTATTCACCATGGGAGCGACACCATCCGTGCAGCGGGACGCGAAGAGCCCTGAAGATGCGCCAGAGGACATCGGCGCGGAGCTCAGCGACACTCAGGATGGAGAAAACGTAGACGGCAAGGTAACACTGCGCTTGAGACGTAATATTGTCGCTCTGATGTGACGTTTTGGATGTGTGTGGGTAAAAGAGGAGTAAAACACTTAACATGCTCACCTAAGTATCCCCATTCTGGACCCCTTGAGTCAGATGTGTGGCGCAGCTAGTTATTGAGCTTTGCTTTATGTAAACACCTGACAGCTGTGACTGCGCTGTGCGCTTTTGTGATTCGCCTTAGCAGGTATTCGAGAAAACGTAGAAACGTGTTTGCTTATGTCTATTCTTAGAGCTTTTCGTCAAGTTTAATGAGTAGATTTGCAGTGATGCGGTATTGAGGCAGGCAGATTGACTCCACCGGCGGTTATTACAGCAGAGGTGCGACACTTTTTTTGGTCTAGACAACAACGTGGGATGTCGTCAAGGAAAAGAAAATTGAGATATGGCTGCATTTCTATCCCGTTCACAATTCTTCATGATGAAGGTGCATGTTCTCAATATTTTATGACATAGTGAGTCAGATACTGTATATCAGCCTGGTTAGGCTCATTAGTGTTTGAACATGTTTGCTTGACTAGAATTATCATTCAAGTAGTTCTGCTTCTGAGTACATGATTATATCATTCAAAAGCAGCAGTGCATACTGAATATTAGCATGAGGCTGCAATTAATCAAAGTCATGTTCATATTTAATATCACAACACGACTACAAGTGCGATAGTACTTTTAATCAGGAGTTCTAAACAGAGTTTGTAGAAAATATTGAGTAAAAATTTGGCCAGTAGGCTATAGCTTTTCATATAATTATTCTGTACATTTTTGAATGCTTTGTCAGTTGCTAAGCAACAAATGGACTGGAACAGGTTGTGAGGGAGAAAGAAGAGAAATTTCTGTTGCTTCAAAGTATTCTGTAATCACTCCGTTTAAAATCCACTCCAGGTTTTCCATTTCCTTCCCACTGATGAGAGAAACCCCACTCAGAATGATTCTGGAGAAAAAAAAAAAAAAAAACCTTGCTGGATAAACGATGTACTGTTTTCTCTCTCTTTTTCTGTCTTGGTCTCTTTTGTAATGATAATTTAATTAAGATAATTCATTTCTTTTTCCTGAGTCTCACATGTGTGCCAGTCACTTGATTTTAATCTGTGGTATTTTTAAGGTTGTTCATTTTTCTTTTATATAATCAATTGGTTTGACCACTGGCTATAGATTTTGTTGTTAGGGAAATAAAATGATGACCTTTACATTTTACTTTTAATAATTTAATCCCAAGTCTGCATACTTTTTAAAACTGAGTGAATATTAATTACTTGAATACACTGACCTGATTCTAAAACATTAAAATCTTCATGTTTTATTTTATTACAATAGTAATAGACGCAACCGTTTCAAACTGATGGCAAAATTGGGGGCTACTAAAGACCACAATTGTCTCTTTAAAAAAAAAACTGCATTCATTAGGTGATAAATCTGGTTTTGGTGTTTCCAGCATTATGTTCTGTTTGTAATTGAGATTTATATGCCAGAGAAGTCATTTGGAGATAAGATTTGCCTAGAATAGATGTTTAGGTGGTTTGTTAAACATGCTGAACCATCTTTGAAACCAGCTCTTCTTTAAGAATGAATTTATGATCTTGAAGCTAAATGAACCTAAAGGACATAGACTAATTTAATCACTCGTTTATTAATGAAAGCAAACTATGTATCAGTTATAGTCCTCTAAGTGCCTAAACTTCATTCAACAAACCTTTAGTTCACACAGACTCTTTTACTGTGTGCTGTGATGTTTTGTTTGCACATAAAAAAAAAAAATATTTATTGGCTATCAAAATGTTTATTTTTTCTTCTACACTGAATTATACATTTCTTTCAGATGAGCACCATGCCAGGCTTGCCTACGCGACCCTGTTTCTATGACATTGACCTTGATCCTGTGACGGAGGAGATAAAAGGACTCTTCTGAAGACATTTCTACAGTCCCACACATGCTTTCGACCAGTAAGAACACAATTAAGAGTGACAGAACAATGCTTTTTTGTTTTAGTGTTTTGCTCATGCCACACAACAAAAAGGTCAGATTTGATTGAATGTACCTAAAACTCTCTCCTTTAATTTCTTTCCCCTCTTTCTTGCTTTCTCCCATTCTCAGATGTTCCTCAGTGTCCGTGTAGGCCTCCATTCATATGCCGCTGATAACAGCTCATCCACTGCCTTCTAGCAATGAAACTACTGAGTGTTAGATCGACAAACATTCCTTCTTATGTTTTGCACAGGTTTTTTTTAATTTTTTTTTACCAAATTTAACTCCTAAATGTTTTGTACTTAGCAGTGGCTTCTTGTTTTTCCAAAAAACAAAATAATAATAATAATAATAATTTTTCTTTCTGTAAACACTTCTGTTTACGTAGTGTTTTAGTGTTTACAATTTAATGACGCACAAAAGCTTTTATACTCATTCTATATAGCTAAACATTCCATTAATGCTTTAATATTTCTGTCTTAAATGTTTTAGATTACCTATGGAATATGGTAACAGTATTCAAGCAAACTCCATTTCTTTTCTTTTTATTTGAATACTGCTACTATTCTCCTTGTGTAGCATTGTTTGTTATAGACAAATATGCCATGAATCTTAAGTCTGAGGTGCTTTTATTTAGACACTACACAAAACAAAATTACAAGTGGCGTTAGTGGTTTGACACCTGTTTTCTCTCTCTCTCTCTCTCTCTCTCTCTCTCTCTCTCTTTCTGTTATAAATGAAGTGTTGCATAGATCTCACTACCTTTGAATGCACATTTTCAGCATGCATGTGGGTACATGCCAGAAAGTCTTGTTTTAGATGTTCCACTGTTATCTGTTATTCTGAGTCTTAAACTACAGTGCTACGTGAGTAAAGAAGAATTCCATTGACTGTTGCAATAGTTATGTATGCTTGAAAACCTGTATTTTCCCAGTGATGATAGATTCTACACTGAAAAAGGCAGTCAGAACAAGATGACTGGCCAGACAAAAATAAAACAACAATACTGAACATTTTCATTCGTTCATTTTATTTTTGTTTATCAACGGGCCACTTTTACCGAACATTTAATGGTGCAGCGGTCATTGTGATTGTGTGTGTGTGTGAGAATGAGAATGAGTGTGTGAGAGAATGCATTAGTGATGTGTGCACATGTATGAACGAGTTAATGAATCACTAATCCATATTGTGAAGTCAGACTGTTGGTCCACAAATGTAAAATTCCTCTAGATTAAAGAGCTGTGATGTATTAAACAGTAGCAGACGACTGACCCCCACAGGGTCTTTCTATTCTTTTGCCTCTACAGGATGCAGTCCCATCAGAGACACCCTGTGAGGGTAGCAGTACTCATTCATACCCCTTTCAAAGAGAGGCCTGTTGCTTCTGTCATTGAAGACACCCATAATTAGCTGACCAGCTCAGCTTGACATTTACTCAAATATCCTCACACAAAAACTTGTATTCTCTTGTACTTCGTCTCTTGGCTTATGGAGGTTTTTTTTCTTTTGGGTACCCAAAATGAATGGCCAGTAGTCCAGGATGTTATTGTTCCATGTTGTAAAAAAAAAATAGATTGTGTGCTTTAAAAGAGGGGAAAGTAATTGTTTTATTATTTAGTGCATGTGTTTTTGTTGCTGCTATAGTGACTGCTGCCCTTTTGACCTTTTGTAAGGCTTTTTACTGCTTATTTAATGCATTTCACCCAATACTCTGCAGTTCAAATGTTTTGGGTTGGTAAGATTTTGTAATGTTTTTGAACGTTTCTTATACACACCAGTGCTGAATTTAATTGATCAAAAATACAGTAAAACAGTAATGCTATAAAATATTATAATTTAAAATAACTTTTTTTCAGTATTTTAAAATGTTGTTTATTCCTGTGATGGCAAAGTTGAATTTTCAGCAGCTGGTACTACAGTCTTCAGTGTCACATGATCCAATATGCTGATTAAAACATTTCTCATTAACTCATAAACAGTTGTGTTGCTAAATATTGTGGAAAACATGATACATTTTTAAGAATTCTCTGATGAATAGAAAGTTCAAAAGAACAGCATTTATTTGAAATGGAATTTCTTTTGTAACAAAAGCAATGCCTCACTTGCTTTCACTTTAAAACAAATCGTAGTAACCCCAAACTTTTGAATGGTATTACATAATAATAACATTGTGGTTATTGCAGCATCAGCCTGTTAGCCTAACAAATACTGGGAACTCTGAATTAGCTGTACTGAGTCTTTAACATCAGTCCTTTGATAGGCAAATAAAGTTCATGTCTATGTCAAGAATCTCAAATCAGTCATGTTTTAATTAGGTTAAGTTTCTCTGGGTCACAGAGATGCTGATTCAATTATTTTAGGGCTGTTCTTTTGTGACATTTAGACAAAATCTGGCAATTCAAGCACCAATTATTGTGATTCTTTTTTATTTGCCTCATTTAGCATCAGCTAAAAGGCAAATTAAGTCATTAATTACTAATAACTGTAATTGCTCTGGATTTCAGCTTATTTGTCATTGGGCCTCATTCTGCACCAAGTGTTCCTAAAAGAAACTGAACATCCAAATTATGATTTTGAATCACTTGGACATGGGAGTACATGTGTGAGGGGTCACACTGGGCAAAGTCAATGTTACTTAATTCAATTACAGTGGGAAAGTATTATGATACAGCCTGATGAACCTTGATGAAATTAGGAGTCCACAACCTGTCAAATGTTGGATATAAGTTAATCACTACTCTAAGTAATAAGAGAGTTTTTTTAAGGACAAAAAAAACTCCCTTACACTCTCAATACAGGTCATGACCTGAGCCTTTTTGCTTATGTCTTTTTAAATTATGGATTTAACAATGTGCTCAAAACATACCACTTCTCTTACCACCACAAACTACTGCCTCTAAATATGGTCTGGGTATTTCTGAAAGGCAAACATATCTTCAGTCCATTCTTTAAATGTTTTTCCCTCTTTTATTATAGCGCAAGTTATCCTATAACAATGACCAAACTTTCGCCTAGCACAGCATAAAGGCATCTACAGGAATGGTCTTTGCATAACATAAACGTAACCAAATTACCTAAACCTAATGCATAATGCATTCGGTATTCTTAAAACTGAATGCATTATATATTTTAATCTTAACCCTTACACTAGGTGTTGTTTACTTCTCTACACACAGAGCCAGTGTATTGTGCTACCACGAGGTGGCTTGTGCAAACTTGGTTGTGATTCGCAAGTGGCCTGTAATTTATGCAAACTACAGTGCCCTCTTAATTCGAGATTTCCTGCGGGACACGTTCCATTGGGCTGTTTTTCTGTGGAGGCCCATCCGGCACCCAATGTTGACATTCCGACTGTCTGTAAATAAAACTAGGGCTGAAGCTTAAGCTTTAATATTTTCATTACTGCAGCTGCATGCCATTGTAAAATTGATGGTTCTGCATACTTTTAATTGTACTAAAAATGGAAGGTGCTGTAATAATATCTTAATATTCTATGGAATTTCAGAGGAAAGCAGTTTAAATGAAAGCAAGCATGTAGTTTATAATGAGCACTTTTTGTTCTCAAAAATGTTTTATAGGGGCAGGGAAACTGGGGGTGTTGTAAGACATTTTGTTACTGTAACTGTACTGTGAGTTGTAATACTAACAGAAAACAATGTTTTCAGTTAGTTATTTTATTAGTTAAATAAAATTTTCGTTTTATTTTAATTATTTAAGAATTACATCAGCTTATAAACCAGACAGAATGGTAAGTTCTTGCCTCAAAAGTGTATTTTGTCCATCTAAATCTTCTAGAATATTTATGATTATCTCAGAGGTTGTTAGCCATATTCAATTTGTAATTGTGTAAACTGATGGTGTTGCACTCCCAGGTCTCACTCTGGTTAGATGCTGTAAGGCGTGTCTGGCTGCTCTCCGTGCGATACTGATGGGAGGAGGGCTCCTAAAAGTGAACCCACAGACCCGTTTTAACACTTTCCAAAGCAGACAACCCTCGGGACGGACTGCAGGGCGCATTTACACGGGCTGTTGGATACCTACTTCCTTTTGAACGCTCGTTATTTGACTAAGAGTGGAGAAACGGCGACGTTATTCACCATGGGAGCGACACCATCCGTGCAGCGGGACGCGAAGAGCCCTGAAGATGCGCCAGAGGACATCGGCGCGGAGCTCAGCGACACTCAGGATGGAGAAAACGTAGACGGCAAGGTAACACTGCGCTTGAGACGTAATATTGTCGCTCTGATGTGACGTTTTGGATGTGTGTGGGTAAAAGAGGAGTAAAACACTTAACATGCTCACCTAAGTATCCCCATTCTGGACCCCTTGAGTCAGATGTGTGGCGCAGCTAGTTATTGAGCTTTGCTTTATGTAAACACCTGATACCTCTGACAGCTGTGACTGCGCTGTGCGCTTTTGTGATTCGCCTTAGCAGGTATTCGAGAAAACGTAGAAACGTGTTTGCTTATGTCTATTCTTAGAGCTTTTCGTCAAGTTTAATGAGTAGATTTGCAGTGATGCGGTATTGAGGCAGGCAGATTGACTCCACCGGCGGTTATTACAGCAGAGGTGCGACACTTTTTTTGGTCTAGACAACAACGTGGGATGTCGTCAAGGAAAAGAAAATTGAGATATGGCTGCATTTCTATCCCGTTCACAATTCTTCATGATGAAGGTGCATGTTCTCAATATTTTATGACATAGTGAGTCAGATACTGTATATCAGCCTGGTTAGGCTCATTAGTGTTTGAACATGTTTGCTTGACTAGAATTATCATTCAAGTAGTTCTGCTTCTGAATATGTTATTAACATTCAAATGCAGTAGTGCTGTCATGCTGAATATTAGCATAAGGTTGCAATTAATCAAAGTCATGTTGTTATTAAATATCACAACAAGTGTGATAATACTTTTATACAGGTGTTCTAAACAAGACTATAGAGTTTATAGAGGGCATAGAGTAAAATTTTGGCAAGTTAATTTGGTTATATTTTAGTATAGGCCTATATTGAACATTTCTTACTCTTTGTGAGCTGCTAAACAACAAATGGACTGGAACAGGTTATGATTGGAGCAACAGCTTTCCCCTTCTTTTCTGTATTCTGTAATCCAGGTTTCCCATTTGCTGATGAGAGAAACCCCACTCTGAGTGATTCTGGATCAAGAAAAAAGACTGTTTTGACAAATTCGTGGTTGATTTGTATGAATTTGTACAATCACATCTGTACTTTTTCTTACAATCTGCTTATTCCCCTCTGGTGGTTAGGTTCAGGCGTGGACCTTCATGCTAACTGTTTTTGTTGTTAAAATTTTGTTTTTTTGCAAATCAAATATACGTATTCATAAGAAATTGCCACCTTGCACAACAGTTTTGTTTTTTCATGAGATTGAGTTGGCTCCAACCAATCTGGGACTTTTTCACTCTTGCGTGATGCCTTACCTAATTTAGAGACACAAATTTGCACTATGCTGTTATTTCTTGTCATGTGTCAAATCACGGGATGCATAACTTACACCTTGGCGTTATATTGCTTCAAAGAGCTATGTATCAAAATGACGGGATAATGTAGCAAGCAGAAGCCATGTAGAAAACTCAGGGGTTTACCAAGAATCACAGGATGATTTTTGACGGAAACTGACCATCTTATACTATGATTTATTATACAATTACATAATTTTAAGAGATGCTTGTGTGAGTCTTAAAAGTAATAGTTCATTCAAATATGAATAACCCCTCATGTCGTTCCAAACTCGTATGACATTCTTTCTTCTTTAGAACACAAAGAAAGATATTTAGAAAAATGCTGGTAACCAAATAGTTTTGTTTACCATTTTAAAAAACACTGAAACATTTGGTAACTCTGTAACCTACAACTATATCCGTAACATAACTTTTTAATATTTTGGCATAAATCCATGATAATTTCATCTGGTGTTAACACGATCAAATCCCATATTGATCACATTAATTATTTAAAAAGTGCTTTTACAAAAAACCATAGAGAACATTATTGACAAAGCCATTACAGAGATGATCCCAGTGTATTAGTTTTACATATTTGGAAGCATATTTGCTGTAGATGTTCTTGTACATCTACCAGTACATTCAGCCTTCTGAAACTGAGACGATATTAACTGTTGTAGGTTGTTCATTTATTTATTTTTGCCAAAGAGATCAGCACAGCAACAGCATTAATTACGAAACTTTATACAACAGACCACAGCTTGTTTTAGGAGAGATATGTGCAGAAATATGATGGGACACATTTTGTTCCTGAAAAGGGTTACAATTCTGTTCAAAGAAGATACAAACAAGACAATGACCTTGCATTTTGTTTTCTCCCAACATTCCATTCTTCTTCTTCAGCTGTTTAGTTTTGGTGAAGTGCATGATGATTGTCTGACCATCTGAGCTTGTATACAGTATTTGCCTTTTTTTAACAGGCAAGCCTAAAAGAATAAACATGTAGTTGTTGGAACAAGACACAAGAAGCCCTGTTAAACCCATCCAGTTCTGTGACTTCTCTGAATTCTGTGTAAATCTAAATCTAGACTGAAACATGTCGAAACG